CTTTGAAAATGTCCACCGCAGTTGTGGACGAAACGTCAGGAAGAAATTCCGATAGACCACGGCTTCAAAGCCCGGAAAACATTTCTAAATGTAATCTGACCGGCCGTGAAAGCCTTCATAGTCTGATAAAGTTCTTATTGTTTGTAAAATTAGTATTCAATTTAAAGAAGTCGAGCCATAGCGTCAGATTAACAACACAAATTTTACTCTGACAGACAACTATGGATGACAACTGACACTCATGATATACATATGTATATCACATTGCTTTTTAGCTCAGATACAAAAAATGATTGATTATTGCAAATAACTATGAGGCTGTTACGTTTAGCTACATAAACCCTTTTTTAAACTTGCTTTAATTTTTATCACTAAATCTACCTGAAAAATAGGGGTTTCTATTTGAATTTTTTGGGTATATTTGCGTTTAAACTTCTTTTTTATAAAAGATGCATAACTCATTTCCTGCACATTTATGACATGGTACCTTTGACTACCAGCAGGTAAAGTTATATTCAAATTAATTGACCTGAACAGGCGGAACAACGAATTATTTCCACGTTTGCACCTGGCAATTTTTTTTCCACACATGGACATTATTCTACAACAGTTGAAATTTCGTACTCAGCTGATTTATCAAAATGACCTAAAAATCCGACAGAGCATCCAAAAATGTAATAATATACAGGGTGTTCCATTTCCAAGCGAGTAAGTACCTACTTCCTGTATAACCGGATTAGCCCCAACACCATAACCATGTATTGAAATTTTCAGAACTCTCATAGTTTTGGTTTGGCAGATAATTCTAGTGTGATCTCCCAAAGATGGACCCGGTATATTCTTTTGTGATAATAGATTAAGTTATGGCAAATTGTAGTAATTAAAATTTTTGCTTTAAAAATTTCAGAGCAGTTTTCACAAGTCAACTCAAGTGTCTTATACCCCTACCATTACAACTGTAACGGTTGCGGCATCCAATGCTGCTTCTACACTTTCGGAGAATACCACACACCAAGGCACTAGCAAAGGCAAACGAAAAAAAGGTGGTGGTAATAATAACAACAACAACAACAATGCTACACTGAAAACGTCAGGTGGTGAGATCCGGAATGTTGTGAGTGAAACCGTGCCTGTAGTTTCGTCTGTCTGTGATACTAGCTCTGAGAGGAAGGAAATCAGCAGCAATATTATTAATGGGTGAGTACGAAATGTGTATATAGAATCATGTTTGCTGTTATGCAATGCGTCCATCAAAGTAGATATAAACTTTAGAAAGAAGCGATGCGTCGGAAATTTTTTGCTGCCTAAGAGTGCGGTTAAAAAGTAATTATACAGAGTATTCAAGATAAGGCTGATTTGCACGGGCGATTTTGTTACATTAGGAAAAACTTAGGGGTATACTTCCGTACATGTGTTCTTATTCTCCGAACATCCGGAGTTTGTCTGCCGGAATGGGAATTGCAACTCTGTCCCTGCATTTTTGACGAATGGTGGATGAGCAATTAAAAGAAGGTCCAACACACCACACAAAATTTAATAATAAACGTGGTGGTTTGCCACGTGAAGGGATGCCAGGTACTTATTGCGGGCAGTACCCCTCTTTAAGAACGCGATTCTGTTTAGTCCGTAGTGGCCCAGAACCCAGGCATATAATAGCCACACAAACAAACATATAACAGAAACAAAATGGCTCGTGTACCTGCGACCCGCACAATTGTCCTAAGTACAGCGGTTGGCAAAGAGCCTTGTCTCGGGTCGCGCACAATAGTTTAGGGGTGGGTTTACAAGCACTCCGTTCACTATTAGTTTAAGGGCGAATGCGAGGATGTTTATGGCGGTAAAAATAATTAAAATTATGGAAGTCCAGGAAGTTAAAAGTATATCACCTAGATTCACCACGCGGCACGTCAAATCTTAGAAGTGTTGTAAATCGAAAGTATTTTACTATCAAGTATTTACAATAGTTTTAGTACAGAGATCAGTCAAATAAAGCAAAAGATTTTCCTAAAAACTGCAGATGTATTGAAACTGTTTTTTTTTCTGGATATTTTAGGGTCAGTGAAAATCAGAAGCATATGCCATCTGAGGTCCATGTGTCGGATGAAACGAGAGCTTCACTTTCTTCGGGCAACACGCCTCCAGTTGTAATACTGTCGGGTCTATCCAAAGAGGTGCCATCTGGGCTTGTCTTTGGTTTTGATATAAACGAGCAGTTGCTTCTTGAAGACTCTGGAGATAATATAAACGCCACACTACCACAGCAGGGTATGCCTAACAGCACTGCCGTCGTTAGTGAACCAAATCTTAGTGAAAATGTAAGTGTTTTTTAATTTTATCATAAGTTTTATTTCTTATACAGGATTATCCAGATTATATGACACGGAAGATTGCGGCTAAACTGTTTAATTTGAAAGAAGTGTTATTTTACGGATAAATGGGGGACCGTTTGGGGTACATTTTAAAATTTATTTCTAATGTACAGGGTGCAAGGACCCGGACCGAAACGAAATAACTGTTCCGGTTACGGTCCAAGGCAAAATTTTAAATTTCGGTTCCGTTCCGGTTTCAATTTTTTGCGCAGGCGCACTGTGCTGTGAAGAAGCAATTAATCGGTAGGATATTAGGTACTCAAGTTATTTATTCAAATACTGTAAAGACCACAGGCAAAAAAGGTGCTTTGCTTTTTCACATCATTGAGATCAACGGTTAATAACGGCTTTCACGCTTAATATGTCTTTTCCTATAAAAAAATTGTTATTTTGTGATTTATACAAGATCTTGTCGTTTAGGACCAGCCGCAAAGAATAGTGTTTATATGTTCTCCCTTTGATGGAGTCGCGGCGCCGTCTATTAAAACGATTCCAGGAACTAACTAAAAGAAGTGCCGACCCTTTGTCGGCACATTAATAGTGCACCGCCGCCCACGAGAACACAGAAACGTAATTTTATATTCATTTGGAGGAGGATAAATGATTATTTTCATTTGCTTCTAAAATGTACAGTAATTTCTTTCAAACGTTACAAGCAGAACCAAAATAAAATATTTCGGTTTTGGTTCAGCACCCAACAGTGTGTCAATATCAAATATGGGTTACGTTCCGGTTCCGGTCGAAAAAAAACGGTTCCGTTCCGGTTTTGGGTCCATATCGGTTCCGGTCCGGGTCCCCGATAGGGTGTCCCAATTACCCGATTCAACCCAAAGTTACATGTTTTAAATGGAATGCCCTGTAGTTTATTATGTTATTAGTGTTTGCGATCGAAATAAATGTCAGTTTTATTAACCCTCCAGCGGGCGCGCCTTTTAAAATCTCACGAGCGAGCGGGCCGCGGCTATTGCACCGCAAATACTTAAAAAAAAACGTCATTTACTACTTTAAAATGTATTTAATAAGTGAAATTAAAACAAGTAACCAAAAATAGATGTCATTCTACAAATAATACTTGAAAAAATGCTAACAGAATTAAATATATATGTAAAAAATCTAAAAATAAAAATCTGAAGTACATATCTTTTTTTTTCAATAAAAAATTGATAATCTTTGTTTGTTCCCGTGGTTCAAATTCTGCTTCTCATTCATCTGCTTATTGTTCGGAATCACTACTATAAACCTTACTTTCAGTAACTTCTAGCTCCTGGTCTGAATCGCTGTCAAAATCGTCATCAATTACGTGACTTCTGTGCACGTTAATGTTCTATTGTAGATCTTATTCTGCTTATCTTCTAATTATCTCACCACTTATGGCAACGATTTTTCTAATTCGTCCGGACTCAATTT